CGCCTTCTACTGGTCCTACTCCTCCCTTACTGTGTCTACAGCCTGACCAGTCGCAGTCGCAGTTACAGCCAGCCTCCCCACTGCCTGGTCCTTCTCCTTACTCTGGGCCGACTAGAGGTCTTACGGAGCGTCGTGAGCCTGAGTCTCGTCCTGCGTCGCCTGTTCGCGCTGGTCGCACTGGTCGTCGTGTTCCGCGTCCGCGTCCTCCTCCTGTCCCAGGCACGCACTTGATGGCACTTCGTCCTTCCTCTGTTCCACAGCGTGTCCCTCTACCGTCTCCTCTTGCATCCTCTCTTCCTGACGTTCCTGACCCGCCGTCAGACCTTGCTAATGCTGCCAAGCCTACTGTCACACGTCTTCTAGCCACTGTTGTCACTGACCCTTCGTTTGCGTCCACTGCTGCGTCTGCCCTAGTTGCTGAGCTGGTTGACATTGCTGCCGCCTGTCGTCTAGACTACGCCGCTAGTCTTGTTGCTGAGTCTGAGTCTGTCTGTCCTCCGTCCGTCGGGGGTGAGTGTGCTCTTGGCACGGACGTCCTTGAGGACAGGCAGGAGGACTTTGAGTGTTTTGCAGCTGTTGTACCTCATCTCGTGTCCATGCTGATTGCACCTGAGGGAGACCCGGATGCACCAGACATCCCGACCCTGCGCTCTTACGCAGAGGCGATAGAGGGTCCCTACTCCTCTCAGTGGCAGACAGCCATGGATGCAGAGATGGCATCCTGGAAGTCCACAAGCACTTACGTTGACGAGGTTCCCCCACCTGGGGCGAACATCGTCACTGGCATGTGGATTTTCAGGGTGAAGAGGCCGCCGGGTTCTCCGCGTGTCTTCAAGGCGCGTTACGTTGCACGAGGCTTCAGTCAGCGATAGGGAGTTGACTTCTTCCAGACCTTCTCCCCTACCCCGAAGATGACCACTCTTCGGGTTCTGCTGCACGTCGCCGCTCAGCGCGACTACGAGCTTCACTCTCTTGACTTCCTACAGGGCAGCTTGCACGAGGAGATCTGGCTGCGCCGCCCACCTGGCTTCACTGGGTCATTTCCTGCAGGTACCCAGTGGAGCCTCCGGCGGCTAGTCTACGGTCTCCGCCAGGCGCCTCGCGATTGGCACGACGCACTGAGGACGACGCTTGCGGCTCTTGGGTTTGCTCCTTCGACTGCTGACCCGTCGCTGTTTCTACGCACCGACACTTCGCTGCCGCCATTCTACATCCTCGTGTACGTCGACGACTTGGTCTTTGCTACTGCTGACACTGCTGGACTGGCCCACGTGAAGTCGGAGCTGCAGAAGAGACACACGTGCACAGACCTGGGTGAGCTGTGCAGATATCTTGGCTTGCAGATCACCCGGGACAGAGCACGGTGCACCAGTACATTGACTCAGTCACACATGGTGTAGCAGGTCCTTCAGCGCTTCCACTTCGAGTACTCCTCGCCACAGGCCACTCCTCTGCCTACCGGCCACTCGCTCTCAGCTCTGCCTTCGGATGAGTCCGTAGAGCCGAGTGGCCCATATCCAGAGCTTGTGGGCTGCCTCATGTACCTGATGACCTGCACTCGACCTGACCTAGCTTACCCTCTTAGCATCCTGGCTCGCTACATTGCGCCCGGGAGACACCGACTAGAGCACTGGAAGGCCACTAAGAGGGTGATGCGCTACTTGTGCAGTACGTCGGGCATGGGGCTTGTGCTTGGAGGACGGGCTCGAGTTGTCCTCACTGGTCACGCAGATGCTTCTTGGGTTGACGACTTGGCTACGCAGCGGTCGTCACAGGGTTACACCTTGAGCCTTGGCTCTGGCTCTATTTCGTGGCGGTCTACCCGCTCGTCTTCTGTTCTCAGCTCCAGCTATGAGGCTGAGATCTACGCAGGGGCCATGGCTGCACAGGAGTTACGCTGGCTCACCTACCTGGTGACCGACTTGGGCGAGCCGCCTCGTTCTCCTCCAGTTCTGTACGTCGACAACAAGGCCATGATTGCCTTGTGTCAGGAGCACAGACTGGAGCACATAACGAAGCACATTGCTCTGCGCTACTTCCTTGCTCAAGAGTTGCAGCAGCGTGGTCAGCTTCGTCTTGCTTACGTGGCCTCTCAGGCCAACACTGCTGATATCTTCACCAAGGCACTTCAGCCTTGTGAACATCAGCGTTTCTGTACTGTTCTAGGCCTTGTGCCTACTTGGCCTCACTTGCTCACTTCTTGACTTTGCTTGTACTGTGATCTATATACATATACCTGCATGCTTACACTTGATAGGTTGTGATCACTGTACTGCTTGTTCTCCTTTATATAACTCTGCATGTGGCCAGTTGCTTGTGGTCGGACTGCGTGGTGACGTTGTGATCCACCCTGAGCTTGACCTTGCTTCGTTCTCTTGCTTGTCCCCCACTTTGCCTATGGGTGTGTATCAGAACTATGCATTTACATGCTCTAGGCTGTAGTGGGGCACTCCTTATGGGGCACAGCCCAATTAGGTTTTACTATACAAACCCTGTACTGCTGTCATTCTAGTCATTCTTTTTTTCCTGATTCTGACACGCAGGACGCGGGTTCATAGTTCACAGCGAGTCGGCCGCTTACTGCCCCATCGAGGAACGAACTGCCAATTTCACCATGATGGATAGAAGCAGCGGGGCGGTCTATGTTTGCGATGTTACCATCACGGACCCCATCAGCACAAGGGATCCAGAGGCACAGAAAGGCAGGGGATGGGCGGCAGGAGAGCATGCCGACAAAAACATCAAGCATTACGCCAACCGACCAGAGACGGTTGGCTTTTTCCCACTGGCTGACACACAACCCGGCGAAATGCGCTGCATGGAGTGCTTTGGGAGCTGATGCTTGCGTAATCCCGGAGGGTGTACCGTTCTGCCCAGAGGGGCTTCGGGTGCTGGGGAGCTACATAGGCCCAACGGCGGGAGCAGCGGCATTCTTGCGAAGCCAGCTCGAAGCACTGTCCTCGCCCCTCCCCCTCATCGCCGAGATGGACCCTCAGGTGGCGTCGCTCTTGCTGACAAAGTGCATCTCCCGGCGCATCTCCTACCTGGCGCGCACTACACCCTTGTGCATGCTCCCAGAGGCTGAATGGTCCCAGTGGGGAAATGCGCTACTACTCACCCTCCTGGAGGCTTACGGGGTCCGCCCATCGAGGGGAGAAGCGGAAGAAACTAGGGTATGGGGACAGGCTTCTCTCCCGCCGTCCCTGGGAGGTGTTGGCCTCTCAGATCCAGCGGTGGAAGGACGATACAGCTATCTAGCAAGCTTTGTCCAAGCCATGACGCTGCTAACAGATGAGCAGGGGGCGGCAGGATCCGCCTTAGCAGCCGCTTTCTCGTGGTCAGCAGAGATTGACCCCGACCCAGACCCGCTTCAGGCTTGGCTGCATGGGTGCAAAGGCGCATTGTGTCAGGAGGCAAGGAACCTGCTGGATGCGGAACTAGTGAACCCCACAGGTCGGCTGCAACATCGCCTAGCCCGCTTCACCCAAGCAAGCCGCTACGCATAACAGGTTGCAGCTTCTAGAAGGATGGAGCTGAACCCTTTGATGGGCCACACGCAGCGGCTAATCTCTCTTTCTGGGTACGGGGCAGGTGACTGGTTGTTAGCCATCCCATACATGCCCAGCCTCCGCCTCAACCCCGAGCACTTTGCCTTCACCCTACAGTTCCGACTAGGAATGCCCCTACCCGTACCAGGCCACTGTGACTGCAAGAACAAGACTGAAATCCCGGATAAAAGACTCCCTAACCACCTCCTCCGCTGCGGTTTTGGACGTGGGTGCACAAACACCCATAACGAACTACGTGATGAGTGCGCCCGTATGGCACAGGACGCGGGGTACATGACTCACAAGGAGACAACTGCGTTCAGCCCGGTCGACAACAAGCGAGCGGACATCGCCATCCGGGACCGTACCACTGGCTCTGTGTGGCTGGGGGACATAACAATCACTGACCCAATCAGCAAGAGGGATGAGCAGGCCACGAAGGGAAGGGGATGGGCGGCCAGGGAAGCGGCGGACAAGAAAATAGACCTCTACCAAAACCGGTCGTCCTATGCTGGCTTCTTTCCCCTGGCAGTTGAGACATATGGCTGCCCGTGTGACGAGGTTCCGGCCTTCCTCAAGCAGCTATCAGAATCAGCAGCACGCAAACACTTCAACGCTCCCCCCAAATCCTACCAGGCGGCAAAGTTGCTGCACCAGTACCGCCAGCGCTGGGCGGTGTCACTACAGAAAGCCCAGGTCGTGAGCTACCTTGTCAAACTGAACCAGGCGGCACAGATAGAGAACCCCCCTGTGAGCGGGCTGGAGGGGGAGTTGTACCCGGGGGACTGCTTTGCAACACTAGAGCCGGGGAGTGAGTAGAAAGGGGGGGGGGGGGGGGGGGGGGGGGGGGGTGGGGGGGAAGGGGGGGTAGGGTGGATGGGGTAGTATTGTAGCGCCAAGTTGTGCCTGTTTTGCTTGTGCTTTTGCTTTTGCTTTTGATTTTGCCTTTGTTGTCCCTTATAAGCCTATATTATTACAAGGACCGTTCAAGAGAGAGAGAGACAGAGAGAGAGAGAGAGAGAGAGAGAGAGAGAGAGAGAGAGAGAGAGAGAGAGAGAGAGAGAGAGAGAGAGGCTTAGTCCTTAGCCTCTCCAGCCCTCTCCAGCCTAGTATAAAGGCCCTAGGATCTTCTCCTAGAGCCTCATTATTCACTTCAGTGTTCGTGTGCTCTCCTAACCGAGCGGCAGAGAGAGGAGAGAGAGAGAGAGAGGCTTAGTCCTTAGCCTCTCCAGCCCTCTCCAGCCTAGTATAAAGGCCCTAGGATCTTCTCCTAGAGCCTCATTATTCACTTCAGTGTTCGTGTGCTCTCCTAACCGAGCGGCTCGCGCCGGCCGCCTTCGGCGGCCGACGCTCGATAGCGCGGCCTTCGGCCGCGCGTGAGGGGCGGCAAGATCAATACACGCAATTGATACAAAGCAAGGACATACACACAATGACGTTTTCAACAAGCACCTAGAGAGGCATGGCATCAAAGGTGCAATCGGAGCCCGCGCCTACATGCGGTGAGCTCCAAGGGCGTGAAGAACGCCCGTCAGGGAGCACAAGCGTGCTTGCGCCGATCGCGGCGGCTCCAGAACCTGCACGCAAATGGCGCCTCAGGCTGCGCACAGCCTCATCGAGCTGCCCAGCAGCCGCAACTCCACCCTCTACGGGCGCAGCCAGCACGGACGCCAACAGCACTGCGAGCTGGTCGGCAGCGTCCAGGCACGAATCACGGTGGCGATCCTGGAACGTCTCAGGGGGAATTGCAGGAAGTGACGAATGCGCGAGAACCTGTATCAGGAGCAGAGCGTGAAAGCTCTCCGCGAGGCGGAAGAGCTGGGCGAGAGTTGCCTCTGGAACACGGGACTGTGGAGGCTGTAATGCCTGCGCCAGAAACTGAAACGGCTCCTCGAGGGCAGGAGTTGCGGAACCGCCAGCCCCGGGATGAGGATACTGCGCTCCCCCTCCCGCAGCCACAAACTCAACTCCCGCCACAGGCGGAACGGGCGGGAGACGAAGCCGAGACCCAGGAACAGGCGCAGAGGCAGAAACAGCAGGAGCCGACGGGGCCGGACTCAGATGAGGGACGGGCGCAGCCGGCGGCGGATCCAAAGGAAGTACAGCCTGTCGAGGAGCAGCACGGGCCACGACAGCGTGAGAGCTGCCCTGGGTCAGGGCGGCCCTCTCCTCACGCACCGCAGTTGACACCGCCCGCTGCAGATCCGCCATCCTCACGGGCGGATCGTACGCCCCACCACCTCCGCGACCGCGGGGACCCCACCAGCCACCGCGGCCGCCATGGTTCGCGTGTGACTGGGCCTGCTGATGCGGACGGCGGGGAGAATTGCGCCGGCGCCGAGAGGATTGACGATCCGGCTGGGGAGCGGGAGAATGAGGGCGAGATGGGCGCCGGCCTGGTGACGGCGGGCGAGATAGCTGCACCGCAGGAGCAGTCGGTGGCACAAGAGGTGCAGCCGGACCCCCAACCGGCGGGGCAACCAACGGGGATGGGCCGCCAGTGGTGGCGGACGCCGCGTGCAGGGACGAGACAGAGGCAGGAGTCGGCAACTCAGGCGCGGCGACAGGTCCAGCAAGCAAGGGAGCCGAGGGGTCGGCGACAGACTCCGGCGGTGCAGAAGGGGACGCCTGAGGTTCAGCCCGCACAGCCGGGGCGGATGGAATAGCAGCAGCAGTTACAGGAGTCTGAGAGACAACAGTCGCAGTTGAACCAGGCGCATCCGCGACAAGGACAGCCGCGGGTCCGGGGTGAGGAATCTTTTCAGAGGATGTTGTCGAGGGCTTCGGAGCCGGAGGCAGAGGGGGCTTCGTCGCCGTGGTCGCCCTTTCGGGCTCAGACTGAGGCCTGGCGACCATTGCCGACCAGGAGGCAGCGAGCTCTGGCGTCTGCTCAGACGAACCGGCAATCACCATCGCGTGGACGAGGGGCTCAGGGAGAGCGGAGCCAGACGGTTAGCGGAGCAAGCGGAGGACCGGAGAACGGGTATCAGGCAGCAGGGCGTCGGGCTTTAATAGCACTGGTAGCAGCTAATGAAGCCGAGGAGAGAAATGACCCCTCTTATACCGTGGAAGAGCAGCCAGAGAGTGAAAACGAAGAAGGGGATGGAGCTGAGATAACAAGGGTAGGAACGGGTAGGAGAGGACCAGGTGCAGCAAATTTACCCACGTCAGAAACGGAGGGGCAAGTAGGGCCATCCACCGTTGATCGAACGGGTGGGAATCCAACTCGGCAGCAATCAGCGAGATCGGGCCGCGCTCGAAGAAATCGGACCGCATCATTTCGCCGGGCGTCAGTCGCGACCCCGCAGCTGCCCCAGTATTTTTCGCCAGTGGAGTTGGCAGAGAGGAGCGACATGTTCGCTGACATCGCGAACTGGGATATTTCCGCCCTCTGCGACAGTCGACAGTCGCCACTGTCAAGACGATTACCGCCAAATTTGTGCCAGCTATTTTCGCTGGCACTCCTGACACCCCTACACCACCTCTCGCGAAACCCTGATTCCGAGGCAGGCTGGCGACTACTCCTTTTCCTCCCGCGTCTAACATTTCGCCAAGCTTCGCCAAAGCACCCAAACTGGCCGCAAATCAAGGCCCGACTCCGGGCTTTCCAGCGTGGCGAATGGATGCAGCTCTACCAGGAGGCAGTAAACGCGGTCAACACCCCTCCACCCCCGCGTCACCAACCCGACGTGACAGGTGTATTGAGTCGAGCGGAGGGGTTGGCCAAACGTGGCAGTCTGCGCCGAGCCGTGCTGGTGCTCGAGTCAACACCCGTCTGCGCGCCAAGTCTAGAAATACTGGCCGAACTCCGACTGAAACACCCGCCAGCAGGGACGGACCCGCTGACCTGGCAAGCAACCGACACCCGTCCCCTAGGCATTTCCCATGCTGAATTTGCGAAGCTTCTCGGGCGATGCGATAATGGCGTGGGGGCCGGACCATCAGGCACCACATTTGAACATCTTCGCGACGCGGCAATAACCAATGCATCCGTCAGCACCCATCTGCACGCCCTGGTAAACACAATTCTGGGTGGAAACCTCCCAGCCTCGGTGGCGGACCTGCTGATATCATCTCGACTCATTGCCCTGGCCAAACCGGGAGGAGGTGCCCGACCAATCGCGATCGGCGAATGCCTGACGCGTCTGGCTGCCAAGGCTGCGCTGTCGGTCATGGGCGAAGCTGCACATGAACACTTCCTACCCCTACAGTACGGCGTGGCGGTGCCAGGAGGGGCGGAAGCGATAATTCATGCCGCCCGAACATACGTGGATGGCCACTCCAACAGCCTGGTACTACAGACCGACATCGCGAACGCTTTCAACAGCATTTCGCGACAATCCATCGCAGCAGCGTTACAAGATCCAACCCTGTCGCCGCTTCTCCCTCTGGTTCGCCTGACCTATGGTAACCCATCGCGGCTCTACCTGGATTCGAACTTTGCGAGCGATCCCCTGTGAAGCGAACGAGGCGTTCGCCAGGGCGATCCACTGGGCCCACTCCTTTTTGCGGCGGGAATCCACCCCACACTTCGCGACACTGCAGCAGCTCACCCCGAGGTGCTTTGCTTGGCGTATGCAGACGACGTGACATTTGTGGGTGAACCACGTGCTACTGTAGCTGCCTTCACCCACTTCACCACGAGGTTAGAATTGCTGGGTTTAAAACATAACCCTCAAAAGTGTACCGCATGGAGCGCTGCCGCGGGCGATTCACCTGAGCTGCCTCCAGGGGTGCCGTTCTGCAAGGACGGCGTTCGTCTGTTAGGGAGTTTTCTGGGGGCGGCCGACGGGGCAGCCACGTTCTTGGCGGGGCAGCTGAGGGACTTGGCGAAACCTTTGCCACTCATCGAGCAGGCCGACCCACAGGTCGCCTCGCTGCTGATCACGCGCTGCATCTCTCGGCGCGTGGCGTATCTCACCCGAACAACCCCCCTCAATCTCGTCTCCCGGGATACATGGACAGAGTGGGGCCGTGACCTCCTCTTGGCACTACTCACCTCGTGCAACATTCGCGCACCGGCGGGCAGAGCAGAGCAGTCACGAGTCTGGGCTCAGGCGTCCCTACCCCCCTCTCTTGGTGGAATAGGCATTACAGACCCCCTCGTCGAGGGAGTGTACGGTTTTGTCGCAAGCTTCACGCAGGCGGCGCTGCTCTTCTCCGCGTTCGCGCTAGACCCGGACTCCGCACTATCTCACGCGCGCTGCCATATGCTCCTGCCTAGGAACGAGAGCACTCCGCTTCACTCCTGGCTCGCCGAATGCGAAACCGCACTGCCTTCTGACGCGCGAGAGCTGCTAGAACAGGAACGTATTAAGCGGATGGATGTCAAGCTGCAGCATGCCCTCGCCCTACAGGTCCACGGTAGCCGCTACGCAGTGCAAGTACGGGCGACGAGAGACATGGAGCTGAATCCGCTGGCGGGCCATACGCAGCGGATGTTTTCTCTAACGGGCTATGGCACGGGGGACTGGCTGACGGCGATACCTATCGAGGCGACGAGGCGCATAGGACCGGCACACTTTGCCAATGCCGTCAGATTCAGGCTTGGGTTGCCCTTTTCCACCCCCAAAAACTGTGACTGCTCGGACCACACCGAAATCACGGACCCTCGCCTCCCAAACCACCTCCTTCGATGCGGCACTGGCAAGCATCGCATCAACACCCACAACGAGCTCCGGGATGCTTGCATTAGTATGGCGCAGGATGCGGGTTTCATAGTCCACAGTGAGTCGGCCGCCCATTGTCCCATCGAGGAGCAGACGGCCGATTTCACTAT